CTCACAACAACCCTGAAAGGTAGATGCTATTATTATCCCCATTTTGCAGTTGAGGAAACTGAGACAGATGGAGGCTAAATGACTTGCTCAGGACCACACAGCTAGTAAAGTTAGGACAGATTTGAATTTAGGTCTTCCTGACTCCAGGTCCAATACTCTGTCCACTGTAGTGCATAACTGTTATCTAACCATGTTTTCCCCATACTATAAATGTAAAGTTGATTTTTTTTTAATTCAAGTATAATACTCTCCCTTTAGAATTTCATCTTATTAAACATAGCCCATTTCCCCAGTGGAAGATCTTTTTCTATCTTAACTATTATCTACTATTTTATCTATCCCCCCCAGTTTTGTGTCATTTGAACAGTTGATAACCATGCCCTCTAGGTTTTCATTCAACTACAATACGTACTCTCTTTCGTCTTAGTACTGCACAAAAAGTCAGTCAAAAGCTCACAGGAAATAGAAAAAGGGGGGCTGCCTCCTTATTTGCCTATTCCATCACTGACTTCACTGGCATTCCTTTGTTCTGCTTCTGTGGGCTTTTAGCAGACTTTTTATGCAGTACTGGGATAAAAGAAGGCATTTATTGTAGTTTGATTGGATTTATTGTTCATTATTTGTTCTGGTGCGAATTTCAGGGTTTTTTGCTAGAGTAGGTATATGAGACATGGGTGCCCTGCTTGACCAGACGTCCTTCCAAATCTCTTGAATCTCTTATGACTGGGTCATGCCCAAAGGCCCATTACAAAGAAATGATTCCTTCCCTCAAGCAGCTTACATTCTATTTGAATCTGCGCTCATGCTCAGAGTGGAGAGTGGAGGCATTTATCCCAGGTAAGGTAAATCAGGGTATTTCTATGGAAGATAGATGACCTCCCTTCCAGTGGAAAACCCCAGATGCCTTTCCTGGTTGTATCACTCCCTGTCATTTGAGAAAATGGTCTTTGAAGGGGAATGGGGAACCTTTAGGACAATCATGGTCCCAGGAAGGTGAGAACACTAGGCTCAGCTCCCAGCCACTCTTTAGGAGTAGGCCTTTAGAATAATAAGGAGAGGTCACTGGGCAAAGAGTAGGGGATATCTGGGATGCCCTAAAAAGAAGTCGAGGACAAAACTAGGAGGGCCTTAAGACAATGTCTAATTCAATCCTGACCTAAAGCAAGAAACTCCTTCTACATCTGTGCAGCGAGTCATCAAACCTCTGAGTAAACATTTCCAGGGATGTGGAGTTCCTTGTCTGCTAGAGGTAGTTGATTACTCCAGTGTCTCTTATTTTATGGCCGAGAACCCTCCTAGCTCTGACATTCTGTTCTGAGCACCCTCCTAGCTCTTTTATTTCATGGGTTTTTAAAATTGAATTTTACTGCTCTAATCAGCAAAAATCTATCCTCTGTCTCCCTTCTATCCACTCCCTCACTGCAAATGAATAAAAACCAAAATCACTATTACAAACATATAGCCAAATCAAATGTCCACATTGGCAATGTCTAAAAGCAAAAAACAACACATAAATATGTATGTACATACACACACACATGCATACATACATATATATATATATATTTATGTAAATACGTGTGTGTATTCTTGTGTGTGGTTGTATGTGTGTATCATTTTACACTCCATATCTTTCACCTCTCTATGAGGAGGAAGGTAGCATGTGTCATCATTTGTCCTGTGGAATATTGGTTGATCATTAATAACCATTAGGGTTCCTAAGTCTTTCAAAGCTGTTTGTTTTTACAATGTTGTTGTCACTGCACAAATTGTTCTCCTGGTTCTATTTGCGAGGTCTTCTCTGAATTTTCTGAAACCATCCCCTCCATCATTTCTTACAGCACAGCAACACTATGTTACATCCCTACAGCACAAACCCAATTGATTCAGCTATTCCTGAATTGGTGTGCATTCAGTTAGACTCAAATTCTTCACCACCTCGAAAAGATCTATATTTTTGTACATCCTTAGCTGGTGTTTGATTTGCTTAGGACTGATCCCTCCATTAATCTACCCTCCTCTAATTTTCCACTCTCCTTTCTTCCCTTTCTCTCCTATATCTCTGTTGAGAAATGTATTTCTGTACACAACTCTGTGTGTGCAAATTCTTCCTTCCTCTGACCAGTTAAGTGAAACTGAGGATCAAGTGTCACCCACTACCCACACATCTTCCTCCTTGTTCATAGAGACTTCTACTTGTATACCCTGATTTTGTCAGATAATTTCCTCTAACTTTCCTTTCCTTTCCCTCTTTCCAGTGGATTTCTCTTCTCCTCCCTTTCCATTCTTCTTTCAATATCACTAAGACATAACAGAACCACCCTCAAGCCTTTTGTCTAATTAGAATACTTCTATAATCCCTGGTGATGATAAAATTTAAATGAGATACATGTACCATCTAACTACATTAGAATGTAAGCAGTTTTTCCTTCTTTAGTTCTTTATCATTGCTCATATGTGTTTACCTTTTTGAATTTCTCTTAACTCTCATATTTGTACTTAAAAATTTCTATGTAGCTCTGACCTTTTCATTAGAAATGTTTGGACACATACTGTTTCATTAAAGGTCCATTTCCCCCCATACAATTATTCAGTTTTCTGGATAAGTTATTCTTGGCTGTAAGCTTATATCTTTTGCTTTCTTTGATATTTTATTCCAAGTTCTCTGCTCCTTTTCAATTGTAGCTGCTAATCATGTGTGATCCTGGCTGTGGCTACTTTGTATTTGAATTCTTTCTTTTTGACTACTTGAAGTATCTTTTCTTTGACCTAGAAGCTCTGAAATTTGCCTATAGTGATTTTTTTTTGTGAGTTTTCTTCTTTTTTTCCCAGGAGATGACTGCTGAATTAGTTCAATTTCTACTTTGCCCCCCAGTTCTAAGACATCTGGGTAGTTTTCTTTATGAAGCCTAAGCTCATTTTAAAAAATCACGGCCTTAAGGTAGTCCAAATTTTTCAAATTTTAAATATTTAAAATTTTTTAACTTTTCAAATGTGAAGTTTTCCTCTTTCATCTGTTTTCCAGATCAGTTGTTTTCCTATAGGTTGCCTCATCTTTTCTACTTTTTTTTCAGTCTTTTTACTTATTTATATTATTTCTCATTGTGTTATGAAGTCATTGGCTTCTATTTTTGTTCCATTCTAATTTTCAGAGAGTTTATTGCTTGGGCAAGTTTTTATACTTCTTGTATCAAGCTCTTAGTTCTCTTTCAAAATTTCTCATTTCTTTTTCAGTTTTTTCCTCTAGAATTCTCATTTCATTTATAAAAGCTTTCTTTAATTCTCTTTGCAACTCTTGCTTCATATCTTCCAGGAATTCTAGTTGTTTTTGTGCCCAAGCTGCGTTTTTCTTTTCATGACTTTGTTGATAAATGTTTTAGAGTCATTCTCTTCTTCTAAGTTTATGTCTTGAGTGTCCTGTCACCATAATGGCTTTTTAATGGTGGGATTCTTTTTTTTTTCTCTCATTTTTTCAGTCTGTTTCCTGACTTCAAACTTTATGTCAGGACCAGGTTCTGGGTACTTCCGGAAGAATGTCTAGTCTAGTCCTGCTCCTGATTTCTTGGGAGTATTAAGTATTTTCAAGGACAGCTCAGGCTAGGGGCCTGCAAGTTGTAAATACTTCCGAAGTGGTTTATCTGGGGCAAAGTCTGATCGCTGGTAGTTGCCCCTAGTCTGATCTCTGTAATTCCCTGGCCTAGGTTTGGGTCTGCACAGTAGCAGATTGCTGTAGGATTCTGCCACTATCAGCAACTAGGAAAGTCTACTGGTTTAGAGTGGCAGAAGTTCAGGCTACAATTTATTCTGGGATTTCTGTCCTTGTTATTCCTCTTCAGGCTTCAGATTGGCTAGAAGCTGCAACTGAGACTCTGCTCTGCTCCTGGAGTCCAAGCTCCTGCTTCCTTCTGAACTTCCTCCTTGTTGAGTACACAGCCCAAAGCCTGTGACCACTCTTATCTTGAATGACACCCCTAGGTACAGGTCCTTGTCTCCTCTACCCTGGATCTGTTACCTGGAACTCTTTAGCAGGTGACAAAGCTTCTCACTGGTAGTTATTCTTACATCATGCAGTGCCTTGGAATGGATCTGAGATCTCTTCTTGATTGATTGCATAGCTGTTTTCTGAATTACTGTGCTCCAAACTGACTCCCCAGACCTGACCCTGTCTGCAGTGCTCATAGATCTCTCTGTCTGTTTTCATCTGACAACCTGGGCTGGAAAAGTGACTCACTATGATGGTTTTTTTTTTTGTATTTTCCCATCAGAATTTGGCATGGTGCATTTCCTACGTCTGTTTGGCAATATGCTGTGCTCTGCCTCCTCATTTCATATTCTAAGGTCTTCCCAATTCTGACATACTGCATTCTGAGGTCACTCCAAGCTGTCACATTCTCTGTTCTAAGGTCCTCCTAGTTCTGACATTCTCTTCTCTAAGTGCCCTCTCACCACTGTGGTTCTAGAGTCTATTCTCTCTCATTGGGAATTGATTTCCCCCCACACCCCACAGCTTTGGACAGAACCCAGCTAGGTAAAATAGATGCTAGACCAGGTCTGAGAAAAGTAGGTGTCTTATGCCTAGGAAGATTTAGGTCATTTATCTGGTATGTTAGAAGAACATCACTCAGTCAGTGCCTTCTTTGTGACCTGAGGCCAGCAGGTATAATAAAAATCAGTCTGGACTGGACAATCAGGTAATCTGGGTTCAAACCCAACCATGCCATTGACTCATTATATGACATTGGGCAAGTTATTTCACCACTCCGTTTCCTGTTATGTAAACTCCTTATGTAAAATGAAAGGGTTGAACTCTTTGAAGTTTCCTTGTAGTTATGACTTTTATTCTGTATATGTAGTTATTTTGTTTCTAAAATCAGCCACCCATGTACATTGATTCTCAGTTAACCAGAGTCTTTGATTAACCAGAACACACTTTTCTTCCCTGACATTGTCATCACCTTTTCAGGACATTTCTAGTAAAACCCTTAGTCTTTTGCTTACAGTATGCTGGCCAGCCTGTACAATTGGTTTTGGAAGGCAGAGTACTGGATTCCCCCTGGGTTCTCCTGGACTGACTTGGAAGATTCAGATGGTGTTACCTACCCTCACTCTAAGGACCTATGGATTGCCCTTCCCCTGACCTTTGTCTTAGTCCTTGTCAGATATTGCTTTGAAAGGTGAGTGAACCGTGAGCTTCCCTCCCTTCCCTTCTATTTTTTTTAAATCATCATTTTATTAATACTTTCTGTTTTAATAAAATTACTGTCATTTCTGGACAAACCCTTTCCCTCTCTCCAACCATCTCCTGTCAGTTGGTCAACAAGCATTTATTAAGCACTTAATATGTAACAGGAACTATGCTTAGCACTGATAAGAAAAATAAAAAAGAGTACATGCTCTTTGCCCTTAAGGGCCCACATTCCAATGGGGAATATACAGAGTAGATTTGAGATAAGGGGAAGGCTCTGACACTATGGAGACTAGGAAAGGCCTCCTGTAGACAGTTGGATTTAAACTAACTCTTGATGAAGGCCAGGGAAGTCAGATTAAAGTGAGGTGGGAGAGCACTCCAGGTATAGATGGATAGCCAATGAAAAGTTGTAAGAGGTGGAGAGCTCTGTGAGGAACAAGACCTCAAAGTTTGCTGGGATATGAGTACGGTAGTAAAATGTAAGAATGCTGTAAAGTTAAGAAAGGGTCAGATTATGGAGGACTTTAAAAGATAAACAGAGGATTTTATATTTGATCTTAGAGTCATTTAGAAACCATAGGACTTTTTTTCAGTAGTAGGTTGACATGATCAATCTTATACTTGAGGAAAATCCCTTAACTGATGAAGAGTGAAGTGAGCAGCACCAGGTAATCAATTTATATGATAACAATAACATTGTAAAGACAAACAACTTTGAAAGACTTAACAATGAATGAAATAGCAAACCTTGTAACCTTCTCTGACCTCCTGTCAGATATGATGAACTCAGAGTGCAGATTGAGACAGATTGCTTTGGATGTGGTCAATGTGGCTCTTTGTTTTGCGTCATTCTGCAAATACGCTACACTGGGGTTTTTTTTTCTCCCAATGGTAGGGAGAGAGTTATGGAGAAGGGAGAAAAAGAGAGATTGTTGTTCATTGAAAACAATTTAATTTAATCTTTCAAAGAAGAACAGAAAAGAAAATCACTTGAGCCCTTGAAGCCAAACCAACCACTGTAGCCACCATGTTTGACAGAATATGAAACATTTTGTAGTCAGAGTCCCTCACTTCTCCAAATAAAATAGGACAGGCAAATTTCCCCATTTCTTTTCCAGGGTCAGGACTGAGCATCATGATTGCATAGAATTTGGGTTTGTTTTATTGTTATTTTCCAGTTATTAGAGTATTGTTCTCCTGATTCTGCTTACTACATGTCACATCAACTCATACATATTTCCCATATTTCTTTGAATTCTTTATGACTTGTTAATATTCCATTAAGTCCATATATACTACAAAGTGAAGTTTTGCCACATTTGTGGACAACTCACTATGTTTTCAGGTTTGTTTGTTTGGTTTTTTTTTGCTACCATGAAGTGTTATACCGAATATTTTATTACACATGAGTATTTTATTACACAGACCTTTCTGCCTTTGACTTCCTTGAGGCATATGCCCAGCAATGTGATGTCTGAGATGAAGGATATGAACAAATGATAATTTATACAGACACACACACACAGACACACACACACACACACACACACACACACACACACACACACACATACTTTTCCAGAATGGTTGAACAAATTCACATTTCCATCAAGAATGCCTTCCACAACCTATCCAACACTGACTATTTTCATAATTTTTCATCTGAGTCTATTTTCTAGGTATTAAGTTAAAAGTTGGAATTGCTTTTATTTAAATCTCCCTCCCTCTCATCCCCTCCCCCCACAATTTGGACCAACCTTTCCTATGGTTCTTAGGAGTTAGCAGCCCTTTTGAAAACTATTTGGTCATATGCTATGATTACTTTTCTTTGGTGTATGGTTCTCATATATTTGTGATCGATAGCTTGCATATTAGAATTTTATCACAGGTATTTGAAATATCTTTGATGCAAAGATTGTTTCTCCCACTTCAGGTTAGAATTCTTAGGTTTTAATTTTCTCCAGTTATTTCTTTTGTATAAATGTTAATGTCTACCTCACAGCACTATATATCTGTGCAATTTTTTCTCTTTTGCTTTTTGACAAAATTTGTGATTTTATGTGCAAGCTAGATGGCTGAGTGGATAGAGCACTGGGCCTGGAGTCAGGAAGACCTGAGTTCAAATCCATCCTAGACACTTAAAAACTATGTGACCCTAGGTAAATCATTAACCTCTGACAGTTTCCTCAGATGTAAAATGGGAATAATAGCACCTACCTATCCCCTAGGGTTGTTGTGAGGATTAAATAATATTGTCCTTTGTAAATTTGTAAAGCACTTAGCACAGTGCCTGGCACATAGCAAATACTTAATAAATGCTTCTCTCTCTCTCTCTCTCTCTCTCTCTCTCTCTTCTCTCTCTCTCTCTCTCCTTCCTCTCCTTCTTTCCTTCTTCCCATTTAAAGCCCCCAGAAGTATGGCTACCCTGCTTGCTTAGCCAATAGAGCTATTTCTCTGACCCAATCAGAGAGATGTTCACAGCTGACAAAGAATTCAAGGCATAGACAAATCTTATTTACATATGAAAACCTTGCCATGTGTGACTACAATCTATCACTTTATCAAGTGAGATGGATTGGGAATTGAGCCTTCCTCCTCTTATATTTACACTAATTTAATCATAGTCTATTCCTATAGGCTTTCCCTGACCCCAATAAGCATTTTTCTTAGTCCAGTCATGGAGTATTATGGATGAGGAAAGTGAGACGCAGAAGAATGAAGTCATTTCCCCAAGGTTCCACAGGCAGTGAGGATCAGAGCTGGTATTTCACCCTAGATGCCCAGACCTCAGTGCCAGTACTCTTTCCCATGCCAGCCATGCAAAGTAGGTTTGTGAGGTTTTTTCCTCATAGTAATTACATGAGATCGTATTATATGAATGCAGTGGTGTATAACTGGGCTATAAGAAAGGAAGGAAAGCCTTATTGCACTACTCCTCTCTTTAAGGTCTGCATTCCAACAAAACTGGATATAATCCTGCCTCCAGCTACCCGTGTGCAGTCCCACCTCCATGTCCTCTCTCACGGACATACCCTTCGCCCTTCATTCCTCCTCCACCTGTCAAATTGTACCCAACCTTTAAATCCCTACCTCAATGCTGTAGAAGATTCCCCTCCTGCCACTTCCAGCCCAACTGTTGATAGTGATCTTTTCCCCTTGGGAAGTGTCATTACTTTTTTACTGCTCTGCTGTATTTGTACTGTATTACTGTGTGATATTATGGATATTTACGGAGACTTTAAAATCTTTGGGGCCCAAGACAATATTTTCTTTAAAGCTTGTGTCTGTCACTAAGCACAGGTCTTTGCATACTTTGTTGTTGTTGAGTCATTTCAGTCGTGTCCAAGCCTTCATGACCCCATTTGGGGTTTTTTATTTTTTATTTTTTTTATTAGCGAAGATACTGAAGTGGTTTGCCATTTCCTTCTCCAAATCATTTTACAGATAAGGATATGAAGCAAACAGGGTTAAGTGACTTGTTAAGAGTTAAATGATCACATAGCTAGTAAATATCTGAGGTCAAATTTGAACTCATGAGGTTGAGTCTTCCCGATTTTAAGCCCAGTATTCTATTTACTGCACCATCTAGTGGTCCACTAGCTTTGTATACAGCAGGTGATTAATAAATGCTTATTGCATTTGAAATAAGAAGAATATTTGCAATAAGAAGAATATTTGCAATTAGACTTTGGCACAGAATTTCAGGGACACCTTCTAATTCATTTGCAGGTCTATTCCTGCTCTCTTCATAATAGCCCAGAGTTCCCTTTTCTTAATGCCTCAGGTGTTGTTTTCTTTTCCCGTGCATAATACCTAGGATGAGATCTCTCAAAGACCATCCTGATTCTCTTTGCTCCCTCCTAGAACCTCTTCATAATCCACCTACTCCTACTCTCCATCTACTTCAGACTGTATTAATTTAGCTGTTGCAGGCCAGTTGGTGGGTAGAATGTGGCAGAGAAAGAGTTCCCAAAAGGCCAGAAATGGAAAGAAAGAGGTTCCTGGGTACTCACTTCCTCTTGTCTCCTCTTACAGGACCATTGGGTTGTCCTTGAGCAGGGCCATGGGTGTGCGTGACAAACTCAGAGTCAAGGCTGCCCCCAATCCCATCTTGGAGTCCTTTTTCTGGACACAAAGTCAGAATCCCAAAGAGGTGAGCAGGCCTCAAGTTTGGGTAATGTTAAGGATCCTGAGAGTGGTAAGCCTCAATGCCTTTCCGTAGGGCAATTCATGATGTTCAATGGTCATTGAATAGGAAGTAGGGGAGGTTGGAGGGACTGTATATCCAGGACTGCCTCAAACATAGCCTCTGTCTTCTGTCTTCCTTGTTCCCTATCACTCAGGTGACTTCTGCCACTATCTTCTTCTATATCCCTGTCTTACATGAAGAGGTGGCCTTACTCCTTACTCACTAGTCCCTCTACCTGCAAAAGCAGTCCCATTTTATCCTGTCACTTCTAACAGATTACCCTCTATCATCCTTACACTTACATTTATCTTCCATTTATTCTTGTCTATTGGCTCCTCCTCTACTGTCTACACATGTGCCTATGTCTCCCCCATCTTCAAAAAACCCTCACTTGATCTTTCTAGCCCCAATAACTAACATCCCATATCTCTTCTACCATTTGTGGCTTAATTCCTTGAGAAGGCCATCTGCAATAGACACCCCCTCCTCTCCTCTCATGCTTTTTAAAGCTTCTTACAATCCAGTTTCCCACCTCATCATTGAACAGAAACTCACCTTTCCAAAGTTATTAACAACCTCCTACTTGCCAACCCCAATTGCCTCTTCTCAATCCTTATTCTTCTTGGTCTCTCTTCAGCCTTTGGTTGTTGATCACTGTTTTCTTCTCAGTACTCTCTTCCCTCTAGGTTTTGGGGATACCACTCTCTCTTAGTTCTCTTGCTACCTATCTGACTACTCCTCAGTCTCCTTTTCTGGATCTTCATCCAGATCATGCCTTTTAACCATAGATGTCCTACATGGCTGTGTCCTGGGCCCTCTTCTCTTCTCCCTCCAACCTACTTCCTTTGGTGATCTCCTCAGCTCCCATGGCCATCTCTCTGCTGTTGATTCTCATATCTATCTATTCTGCTGCAACCTCTCTGCTGATCTCCAGTCTTGTATTTACAACTCCTTTTTAGGAGTTTAGGTACTTCAAAATGGATGAACAGTAGACATCTTAAACTCAATGTTTAGAATAATTCATTATCATTCTCCCTAATCCTTCCTCCTGTCCTAACATCCCTTTTATGGTCAAGGACACTACCATCTTCCCAGTCCTTCAGTCTCTCCATCTAAGTGTCATCCTTGGTTCCCCACTACCTCTTACCTTTCAGTCCAATTTGTTGCCAAATGCCTTTTTATTTCACCTTTGTATTATCTCTCCAATAGCCCCATTCTCTTTTCTGAAAATGCCTCTACCCAATTACAGGCCCCTCATCACCTCACATCTGGATTATTGCAATAGCCTTCTGGTGGATCTGCCTGCCTCAAGTCTCTGCCCACTCCAATACATCTTTCAGTCAGTGGCCAAAGTGTTTTTTTTTTTATCCTAAGTCTCAGGTTTGACCAAGTTATCACCCTACTCGATAAATTCCAATGATTCTCTATATCCTCCAGGATTAAATATAGAATTTTATTTTTGGCATTCAAAGCCTTTCATAACCTAAGCCACATCTCCCATCTTTCTAGTCTACTTGCACCTTGCTATCCTTGGCATACTCTTTCATCCAATGATTCTGGTCTCCTTGCTGTTCCATGAACTAGTCACTCCATATCTCAGCTCTGAGCATTTTCACTGACTGTTTCCCCTAATTAGAATTCTCTCTCTCCTTGTCTCTGCCTTCTGGCTTCCCTGAAGTCCCAGCTAAAATCCCACCTTCTATATGAAGCCTTTTCCAGCTTCTCAAGTCTAGTGCCTTCCCTCTTTTAATTATTTCCTATTTCCCCCTGTAGCTTCATTGTACAGATTTGCATCTCCCATCTCCATATCTTTGAACAAGTTCTTCTCCATGCTTGGACTGGTTGTTCTTCATCCTTGGTTCATACTATCTCTAAATTACTTAAATTTTGCATATATTTACATATACTTATCTCTATACTTATTGCTTCTGGTAGAATATAAGGTCTCTGGGAGTAAAGAATATTTGTTTTTTGTCTTTGTACAGCACCTGGAATATAGTAGATACCTCATAAAGAATTGCTTCATTGATTTAAATCTAAGATTTCTGCTCAATTTGGGTAGAGATTCCCTCAGTATAGGTCTTTTCCTCCCCTTCTTCCTCAAGGGCAACAAAGCTATAGCAAGGTACAGGGTGTGGACTGAGAAATGCCTTCTTTTGGAGACCTGTCGCACTAGGGTAGAGGTGAGAAGACATCTCTCTGGACAGAGCCCATGGAGACTAGGGCCAAGTCTTTTCCCCTGATGCATATTACTCCTCATGATCTGTGAGGCTTCCAATAATTCCCTGAGGACAGAGGGGGCATTCTCGAAGATGAATGGTCCGGTTGCACTTGGAGGAGGTAGCTTCTCTGTTGTGACAGGGGGCTTACCTTTTTCTGTCCCACTCCACTGCTCTTGTCCTCTGATATTCTCAGGATGATCTGAGTCACCTAGGCCGTCAGTGTGGTCTCTCAGTAAGGCAGGTCCAACGCTGGTTTCGGCAAAAGAAAAAACAGGAGCAACCATTACTGAACAAGAAATTCTGTGAATCCAGGTAATCTGGGAAGACCTGGGAGAGACCTGACCCAAGGGGATCCAGGTCAGGGTCAGGGTGCTATGGGATCAGGCATGACTGGCAAAACAGGGGCCCTGTTTATTTATTCATCCACTCCACCCTTTGCCAGTAGCTCCTTGCATTCATCTCATCCTCTCACTCCCTCCCCCTTTGTCTATTTCAGTTGGAAATTTTTTTTTTACTTCTTTTCTTTCATTGGCGGCCTCTTTGTCCTCCACAAGGTGAGTACACCTTTTTCTGAGTCTTTTTTTTTTTTAGGCAATTGGAGTTAAGTGACTTGCCCAGGGTCACACAGCTAGTAAGTGTCAAGTGTTTGGTCTGAGGACAGATTTGAACTTCAGGGCCGGTGCTGTATCCACTGCACCACCTAGCTGCCCCTGAGTACACCTTCTTCTATCCTTATCATAGTCTGCTCCCTTTCCTTTTCTCCCCTCATGCTGTCCATCTTTGTCCTCTTCTGACCTCAATTTTCTTTACTTTCTTTGTTCTTTTCATCTTTTTTTACCTCTCCTATTTCCATTGGTCCCTTCTTTCTCCATACCCCCATCTTCTTTTTTTGCTGTTTATCTTTCTCCCCTCTTATCCTTTCTATTATTCTCTTTCCTTCTATCCCATCATCTTTCCATCCCTGTCTTCTTTGTTTCCTAGATCCCTTCCTTTTTATTTGTTCTGTGCTTACCTTCTCCATTCCCTTCAGTCTCTATACTCTTCATCATTCACTCTCCATCTCCATGTACCTTTTTCTTCTTTCCATCTCTTATCCCATTAAGCCACTTTCTTTCCCTCCATCTTGTATTCTTTATCCAGCTGTCTCCTCATCAACTCCATTCCCATCCTCTTGATTCCTCTCCATTCCCTTCTGCTTCTCTCTGCTGTCTAACCTCCCCACCCTTGTTTTTGGTCACTTTTATCTCTCTTTCTGTCCCTTTTCACCTCTGGCTATTTCATTGTTTTTTTGTCTTACTCCATCTCTACTTTTCTCACTGCCCACCCTGAATTTATTCCCCATCATCTGATACCATTTATTATAGTTTCTTCGGGGAAGAAGGAGTCATGGCTCCTCTCCAGGGGCTCTGCACCAGAACTAACTAGCCTAACCAATAAAGAGAGTTGATAAGAATTACTGAGTCAGATATGAACCAGAACACAAATCATAGCACCAAATCACTAAACCAAAGCTTGCTGGTGGAGTAGAATCATTCTAGGAACATAGGGGAAAGGAGAAAGAGATAGATAGATACATTAGCTGTTTGGTTTAGTAAGTGCCCAGCTTTATAGGACTCCAATTGGCATGTGTACAATTTGACCAATGCCTTGTTAGTCAGGTGCCCAGTTTAAGGGGCCACTCTAACCTTGCCCCTACCTCAAGCTATATCCAAGAAGACAGAGGGACCAAGTACTGATAACATGGAGGGAAGTGTGAATAAGAGCAGGAGTCTAGGGTCAAGCCTTTCTTTTGATGAAGGGTTTTGCTTGACAGGTATAACTTCATCGTGATTTGGGCAGAGAACAAAAGTGGGGGAGGCTAAGATAATGAGATGTTGTGAAGTACAGCTGAGATCATCCCTGTTCCATGCTGGAGTTTCCTGAAGAATGGTCAAAATTATGGGACACAGCCTTCATTTGTAGGGGCTGGCATTGCTGAGGGGTAGTTTCCAGAATATGATCTCTTGTTTCTTCCAGGAGCCATGGTTTTGGGAACCTAGACTGTGCTGGGAGAAATACCCTAAACATGTGAGTATTTTTAGAAAAAAGATGGGTGTCACAGTTGACCAAAGAATGGGCTTTAATAGCTGAAGTAGATACCATGAAGAATCATAGAATCTTAGAATTTGAATCAATTAATCAATAGGCATTTATTAAATCCCTACTATGTGCCAGACATTATGTTATGCCCTAGGGATGGAAAAACAGAAATGAAACTATCCCTGGTGTCAAAGATTTTACATTCTGCCCAAGGAGACAACACATAAATATGTATGTAATTGGTTTGTGGGATAAGATTGCACATGTTAAATAAGGTTTAGTGGACTGTTTCATGTTATCACACTAGTCAATCATCATGCCCATCCTCCTTCTTTGCTACCTGCTACTGGCTTATTTCCTTATTCATCCTCTATACATATTCTAAGGTAACCAAGAGTATGCCCTGGTATTACCATATAAATGAAAATAGATACATATCTCATTAATCAATTAGGTTTGACACCACTGCAATTTAAAAAATAAACTGGAAAACTTTCTTTCATGTAAATTTTCTTTCTCCTTTTCCCCCTTTCTCCCTTTCTTTTCCTTCTTTCTCCCTACTCTTTACTCTCAAACCCTTTAAAATAAAACAATACCTATGGCAGTACTCATATAATTGATTACATTAGCAAATGAATATTTATGATGTATCAATAGTAAGGGAAGTTTGCAACCAAAGTCATCTCTGCATCCTTTAAAGGAGGGAAAAGAACCTTTTAAAAGAAAATGTTCATTACCATGGCTACTGGTTCCTCCTGAACTCCAAAAAGAGTTCTCTCAAGACGATGAAAGGAATTCAGGCTTGGAATGAAGAAAATCACTCAGAATTCAAGATGAGAATTGAAGCTTTTGGTTTGAAAAAGAAAGGTTATGATCACAGAATCCAGAAGATATTACTAGAGTTGATATTCAAGAGCTAGGGATTTTCTTCTTGGCACCCACATCATTCTCACATATTCAAGGATTTTTGGCCAAGTTCTGAATTCCATAGTTCGGAGCCATTTACATCCCACCCACATTGTCAGGCACAAATCCAAGCAAAAACTGGATTATAGCAATGGATAACAACACTCATAGTCTCTAGGCAAGGAGATTTTGAAGGTTGTTGTACATATAAATGTATTCATGATGAATAAAAATAAATACAGAGTAGTTTAGAGAAGGTGGGCACTAGTAGCTTCAGGAATCAGAAAGTCATTTTAGGTAGAAGAAAGGCCTTGACCAATTCCTGAAGGGAATAAGAATTTACGTAAGACAGAGGTGAAGAGTCAACAATGATTACAAAGTTAATAGTACTCTGGATAGGAATAGAGATGTTCAGAAGAGGGGTGGGTTTTGGCAAAAAGATAACGAGTTTTATTTTGGACATGTTGAGGTTCAGATTCTAGGGGACCTTTAGTCTGAAGTGTCTAATAAGCAAAGAATGAAGTAGGACTGGGGGTTAGGAAAGGGATTAGGTCTGAGAATATAGATCTTTGAGTTATCTGAGTGGAGATGATATTTAAACCCTTGGAAGTTGAGAAAGTCAATAATGAAGAGCATGTAGAGAGGGAAGAGGGTCCAGGACAGAGCCTTACCCATAGCTAGGTAGTTTGACATGGATGTTGGATCTAATGAGAAACTATGCTAATGTAACTTCTCCCAGCCCAAATCTGCACAAAAATCTCACAAGAAGCTCATAGGAAGTAAGAAATGGAGTCACCAGAAAAGTTTGTCAGCAGCTTCTGAAAAGTAATGAGAGTCAGACCAGAGACACATGTAGTGCCTGCTGCTCTGTCCAGAAGTAGCAAGAGAGTAGTCCTTCTTAGAAAGACCCAGAGAGGTCAGTAAGGCCCAGGGTGGGAATCTTCAATGCCTCCAGGATCATTGTAGTAACCAGATGTGTGTGGCATAGAAGAGCCCAATTGTTCAGGGGCTCTGAGATCTCAAGTGTCCCTTCAGAACCTTAATGTCTTTGATGAGTATTGAAGGAATTAAGTAAGAAATACTGGACATATATTGGTTCTGTTTTGCAAGTGTCAAGAGGGGAAAGAGCTGATAGAGTAAAAGGAATGTGCTAGTAGGGAAAGAAGGAAGATAGGGGTGGCATTTGGCTATTTCTCATAATTAAGCTGTGTGAGCAGAAGGGTACATACATGAAGGAAGGGGTGAGCAGGCATAAGATGACCCCTGCTCTTATCTGAAATTGACGAAGGAGGATTGAACATGCACACACACAAACTAATGGCAAAATTCATCAAACCCAAGAGGGAAACAAGTGGAGACAATGAGGAGGAAGTTTATATGGGAAGATAATACTGGGGAGGAAAGAGTCACAAGCAAAACAAACTTTTGAAGAGGAAAGTAAGGGGAGAGGGATGAAAGAAAAGACCTCGAATCTAAGGAGGCACCCATCAAACAGGAAACTGATGAATAAACTGTGAGTGTAATGGAATATTACTGTGACTTGAGAAATGATCAAAGAGATGATTTTAGAGCATCCTGCATAGTCTGAGTTCATGCAGAGTGAGACAATTTCTTCAATCAGAAGGACAATTTATACAAGGTAAAGAAAAACAACTTTGAAAGGCTTCAGAACTCTGATCAGTGAAATGACAAACCATTCCTTCAGAGGACCTATGATGAAGCATTAACGGAGAGGAAAGACTCGAGGAGGAGGAAGAGACATCCTTTTGGGACACTTCCATCTTGTGGATTTGTTTTGTCTTGCTTGACAATGCTAGCTTGTTGAAACAGTGCTCTCTCTCTCTCTCTCTCTCTCTCTCTCTCTCTCTCTTTCTCTGTCTGTCTCTCTGTCTCTCTCTTTCTCTCTCATTTGAGGGATAGGATGAAATTGAAATTGAGAGGGTGTTATCAATAGTGACAAAACAGAGGGCATTTGGTATTTTAAAAAAATGCATAGAAAGGAAACAAAATCAGGTCAATTCTGAAAAAAAGTGAAATTATATATTTTTAAAAAGAAAAGAAGCATGCAATATAAATGGAAATATACCATTTCATTTACAATTCTCACTTGTGTTCTGCTGCATAGTGGAAATGATTTGAGGTGTGTTTAAGTTAATAATAACTTTTTGAAATAAATTCTATCTGTAGTATTCCTTTGGTTGATTACTCCAGTAGCCCTAGAAGTTTAGAAAAAGGAAATGAGTTAATGTGCCAATATCTGACATGGAGAAAATTGGTTTTAGGGGTCGGTCCTCTGACCGTGAAGTTCAATCCATTGTGGGATGCTTGGTTTCAGGGAGCATGAGTTCCTGATCAGTTTCTCTCAACCTTTGATTTCTGTATTTTTCTTAATTCCATCTCATCCCACGGTTATACCAACCCTCAGCCTCTGCAGCCTGCCATATACTGGTGGTTTCTCCTGGAGATTGTCTTCTACCTCTCCCTGTTGCTGACTCTGTTCTTTGATGTGAAGAGGAAGGTGAGTGTGGAGGGAATACAAGCTTTCAGGAAAGGCCTTGGTCCTCCAAATGGTGTGAAGGAAGGCCACCTTTCAGTGCCTACCCTCCTGAACAAAGGGTCAGGCTTATCCCTGGCTCTGAAGGCCATGCTCTGAGTTTCCTCTATTGCAAGCAAGGAAGGGCAGGCATAGTCAGCCTAAGCTTAGCATGCTCTCATAGAGAATGAACCAGTGGATTCTTGAGTTCAGATGCTAATTCATTTCAGTTCAATTCAACAGCTAGTGTGTGTTCTCTGTAGCTCCTTTCATCAGGTCCAAGTCAAATCAGGTGTTTAAATCTTCCTCTGCCATATTGTCCCTCTTCCCAAACCCCTACAACTACTAAAGCTCCTTTGTTTGCTCACTTCTGCTTTCTTGCTTCTTTCTTATCTGAAGTGTCTCTACCTACCCTTGGCAGAACCAAACCTTCCTTCCTACATGGGAGGGTGCTCATGTTGTCAGGGTGGAAGTCTCAAATGGGGTGGTGTGGGCACTCCCAGACTAAAAGTAGAAGTGCTAGGAAGAGTTGTCTACCTAAAATGTGGGTCAAGGTCTACTAACCCTGAGTAGGCCAGCTTCATCCTTTGGGAAATTCAGGAGATCCTGGCCTCTTCCTAGGATTTCAAGGAGCAAATCATACACCACTTTGTTGCCATCACCTTGATTTTTTGCTCTTATTCTGCCAATTTCCTGCGTATTGGTGCCTTGGTGCTGCTGCTCCATGATGTGTCAGATGTCTTACTGGAGGTGAGTGAGTGTGCCTAGGAGCTCTTGTCTGGGAAAGTGTTGCTGGGATCAACTTGAACCCCTGGAAGCCTCATATGCGCAAAGGATGTAGCTCCAGAGCTGTCTCCAGATGCCTCCATGCCCACTATAGTCCAGTAATCAGGCATCTTGCTCCACCATCTTGGGGTTATGGTTCCCACATCTGCCATAAGGCTTCTTCCAATGCAGGATTCTATGACTTCTATCTGTGGTCAGAAACAAGGAGTGAGGGGAAGGGGAGGATGGTGTTTAAAAAATCTATGTAGGTATATGGAGCTTCAACCAGGGAGAGTCAAACAGGTTTTGGATGGTTCTAGAGACCTACGCAGGATATAGAAGCCTTGAGTAACATGGACAAAAGAATTGGTGGCAGCTTAGCAGATGGCCCACATGGTACAAAGTTGGTGAGGAGGGAGATTGGCAACAGGTTGGATGCCCATCAGTATCCCCGAAGATCTCCTGAGGAAGGAGGATGAGTAGGGGCAAGTTCCCCACTTGAGATCACAGCCTCAACTTCAGCAGCACGTATTGGAGAGGTGGGGCTAGACAGCACTTTTGGTGGAAAAAGCCCTGGGGTTTTAATGGGCCTTAGAAATTTCCAGGTCATTGTAAGTCCACAGGATGACATGACAATGAAAAAACACTAATTGCACCTTGGGCTACATTCAGAGAGGCCCAGTGTCCAGAATAAAGGAGGTAGTAGTTTCCTTGTGCCCAGCCCTGGCCAGGCCACATTGCTAGTAAAGTTCAAGGCTTCACCTTTGGGAAAGATACTAGTAGATGGAGATGTGTCACTAGGGAGATATCTTAGGGAATGAGCCAGGAACTTCCAGAGGAGGGTGACCAGGATAAAGAGGGGACTACAACTCATGCCAAATAAGGATTAATTGAAGGAACTAGGAATCTTTGACTTGGAGAAGAAAAGAATTGGGGTTTGAGACAGGGAAGGATAAAAAGACTGATTTCAAATGTTTGAAGGGTTGTCACATGGGGAAGGCTAGATCTAAGTAAACACCTCATAAGAATCAGAAGTATCTAAAAGCAGAATCAACTGTCTGGGAAGCCATGAGTTCCTCATTATTGATGGTCTTCAAGTGGATACTAGATAATTGTTGGCTGAGGAGTTACAGTGGGCATTCCTAGTCAAGTATGACTAGATGCTAGATACCCTCTGAGACTCTTTGAACTCCAAAATTGACCTATGTCTTTCTCCCCTCCCAGGCTGGTAAAATGTTCAATTATGCAAAGTGGAAATATTCCTGTGATATAACCTTCCTCGTCTTTGCCCTGGTGTTCTTTGTTAGCCGACTTATCTTCTTTCCAACCAAGTGAGCCTGGTCCCTGAAGATGGGATGCGATAGGTGAAAGAAAGGGGAAGTTTTCAGAGCCCGGAGGGTGAGAGGCACTGGGGACCTAAGTACTCATCATTTAGGATCTTATGGTGCCTACAGCTGCTTCCTCCCTCCCACCCCAATGTTGTGAACTTCTTAATTGATAAGTCCTATGTATGGGAAAGATGGGATGGGCATCCTATTAGACTTGGAGGGTCTGGAGGTCCTGTCAGATGGCTGTTTCCCCATTCTTAGAGGCTCCCAGTCTGTGCTTTTCTCCTTTCCTGGAGTTGTCTCTTTGATGAAGAAGGGCAGTCTGGAGGCCAGGCCCTTACAGTGTTCAAGGGACCTGTTCTTCATGACCTGAATTATTCTTTCTTGTATTTTCTACTCTTGTAGAGTCATCTACACTACCTACCATTATTCCCGACTCTACTTCCAGCTCTACTTTGGATTCTATTTTTTTAATGGTCTCCTGATGATTCTGCAGATTCTCCATATCTTCTGGTTTTCCCTCATCTGCCGCATGCTCTTTCAGTTTATTTTAGCTCGAGGGGTACGTACTGAACTGCTCTTGCTCTCTTGGTATCGTTGGTGCTGAGTGTTGTCTTAGGGTTTCCCATTCTGGGAAGCTCAGATGAATAGGATGCCTGGTCCCAGATGCCCCTCCATCTGTGGCAGACATTGGGTTGGGGCTGAGGGTGAATTACAAGGATGTGCTGAAGAAGGGAATGGTGAATGGAAGATCAATATTGTCATGCTAGTGCCAATAGGCACACAAGCAGTCCTGGAACAGGGTCTTACTGAGAGCCTTGTTTCTTCTTCTTCTTCTTCTTCTTCTTCTTCTTCTTCTTCTTCTTCTTCTTCTTCTTCTTCTTCTTCTTCTTCTTCTTCTTCTTCTTCTGTGTTTTTGTCTCTCCCTCTCAATTTCCCCATTTCCTACTTTTTCCTCTCTATCTCTCCTGATCCCTCCTTGACTGTTTGTCTTACTCCTGGCTTTCCATTTCTTTTTCATTCTCCATCTCCTACCTCTCTGCCTCTTTCTAAATTCCTTAATCCATCTTTATTTCTACTTTTCGATACCATTCTTTTTCTGTACCTCTGTGTTTCTTCTTGCTCCTGTCCTGCTTCCTGTTGTGTTTCTGGTTTCCTTCTTTCCCACCTATGCCCATCCTCCTTCCCCTCTGTTTATCCTTTCTGCTTTCTTGGCCTTTTATTCTCAGGTGCAGAACGACATAAGGAGTGACATGGAGGACCTGGGCACAAGTGATGATCAGTCAAAGAAGGGGAAGCAGAGGAATGAAAAGTTCCAGACACATGCACCTTCCCCCAAGCCAGGGGTGTTAGGCAATCTGGGTTATGGTGGCTGGCAAGGCATGTCCCAGAAACATAGCCTGGACCAACCAGGGGCCTCTGATTGTCTGCCTGACAAGTGAACTCTGAATGGCTGGGCTCTTGACTGCTTGAAGACACAATCATTATGTATATCTTCTAGCTATGATTGAGTATGGACTCCACAGGATTAGAACAGAGCAGTCCTAGAGCTTGCGACCCATCTTTCTGTCCATCCCCACCTCTGTTGGACCAAAAGGAAAAGGGGAAGGAAAGGGTTTCTGCACAGGTTTTTACCAGGCTTCATGATACTCCCATTGAAAGTCTTTTGTCTGAGTCAATACCTCAGACTTGCTGTTGAGTCTGTCCTGATTGCTTAGAAGGCCAGAATTTGAGCAGTACTGAGGATGGACTAGAGGTTCTCCAAGATTTCTGTCCATCAAGTCTGTTTCTAATATTAAAGTTCCCCTAAGAGATCTAGGGGGTCTTCAGAAAAGTTTCCCAAAGGGCTACCTCCACATCACCACAAAGGCCGGGAAAGCTTCAGTAGCTAGGTAACCCCTAAGGCAATGAGAGGGGCCTCGTTTGTCGTTCTAAGGCTGGACAGGGCTGACCAGTCTCAGACTCCTCTCCTCATCCCAGCCTGGAACTTTCCCACTTTAGACCTTAAGAAATAAAGGAAATGGAATGGAGATGTGGAACCATGACTTCCCCTGACTGAGAGAGAACAATAAAATTTGAATGGAGTCATATTCATTGTATCTGAGCCACTGGCCTCCCCCTTTCAACTCATTCTCCAGCCACCACTCATCCTTATCACTCTCTCTACCTCCTCCATGCCTGCCCTAGACAGAGTCCTAGAATTTCAGAACTGGGAGGAACCTTAAGGAGCATCCAGTTGAAGCCCTGCTTGAGCAGACTGAGGACTTCCCCAGCAAATAATAATCTAGTATCTGCTTGCACACCTCCAGAGATGGGGAGCTCACCTCCTATGTTGATAGACCATTCTAATGTTGGGCAGCTCTAACTGCTAGATAGTCCAACAGTTCATTTCTATGCTAACAACTAATAATGACTTTTGGACCTGGAGGATGGGGGAGGGGCACTGCAAACTCTCCTCCACTGAGTGCCCTCTTCTCTGGACCCAGGTGGGCATGGATTGGGCTCAGACGCTGAGGGCCAAGACTCAAATGAAAAGATTTAGGCTCTTATTCTCACATGCTTTTGCTCATTCTGTCCCTCCATGCCAGTGCCCCAGGAGGATTTACTTAAAGTTTAGGTTTAACTTATGTTTAGGATCTCCCCTAAAGGTGGAATAAAAGGGTGCTCAATATACAATATGAATTAGGCATAGGGCAGATATTTATTATCTTCATACAAAAGAAAGGCTTAATAAAAAAAGACTTATGAACATGCATTAACAAGAATTAAAAGAAGCAGCAGAGTACACACTGTTACACTATCGCAGGAGGTCAAGTTTTAAAAACAACCAAAACACATCATTCCATGGGACTGTTAAATAGGCACTTTATATTTCACCTTTGTTCTTCACTAACCAATAATTTCTTCCAAGTCTGTTTTCAAGCCAGGCCAGGACTTGGGTTTAAGTTCTTATAAGCAACTATTTTTTTTTCTGGTGCAGAAACTCTAGTGCAGAAGTAGACTCATCCTGACCAGATGCAAAGACAAAGAGATTCCAAGGGTTGATTCTCTGGTCACTGGCCAGTAAAAAGAGCACTTAGTCATCCCCCAAGCACTGAAGTTCTGGCCAACAGGAAGCAAGCAAAGCAACTCCATGCATTGCAAGGTAGAAAGTGAGGGATAGGGGCAGCTAGATGGCACAGTGGATAGGGCACCAGCCTTAAAGTCAGGAGGACCTGAGTTCAAATCCAGCCTCAGACCAATCACTGGACACTTACTAGCTGTGTGACCCTGGGCAAGTCACTTAACCCCAATTGCCTAAAAAAAAAAAGTGAGGGATACGGACAATTAAATTTAACCCCCATACATGATATTCAGTCAAAATTTGCCTCCTTATGATTGCTCCCAATCCTTCTGCCTACTCTCATCCAGGACAATGCAAGAGTCAGAAAGGGAGTCTTGTTTAGGGAAATTATTTTTAGACAGGTTGATGCCAGGATAGCTTATAAAGAGAGATGCTCCTAAGGATTTAGAAGAGATCAAGCCCACTCTGCCTTAAGTTAACACAGCACACCCAACCCATATCACACTCTTCAAAGAGCCATCCCTCAATAATATGCATGTAAGAACAGCGGGCCCCATGGTTTTAGCGAGACTCACCTCTGGCAAAACCTGTTGTTGTATGGCTCAAAGGCAGGCAGAATAGGCATCTCTGACCTCTTCTCCCACCCTTTTCCAAAGGAGACTTTCATTCCTGTGAGGAGAAGAAGTGGGATATTGGGGCCAGAGGCCATTCTGCTCTCCTCAGAGAGAGGGGGTACCAAGCTTGAATTATATCTATCTCTCTCTTAAATATTGTTGGTCTGGGGGGGTATGATCAGGTTCAATCTAATTTCTGATTTCTTTGTCATTACTGGGGGAAAGGGAGACCCCCAAATTCTATACCCAATCTTGACCCTTTTCTCATCAAATACCAATTCCACAATGAATGCACATAAGGAATAGCAAAGAAGCCTATTTTTCCAAATCATAGCCAAACGAAAATGAAAGAAAGTATACCTAGGAGAGTATATACCACACAATATGTGTTGTAATCCTGGATTTGATTCCTTGATCGCATTAGGATCAAGATAAGTCAGCTCGACCAAGAAAGAGTGTTCTTGATCTCATTTAAGAGAAACCGCCCATAGCCTCTAGAGAAGCTGCCCAAAGTCTCTAGAGAAACAAGCTGAGAAGGACATGATGAAGCCTGTCAATTCCTCTCCTGTATTCCCAGAGTCTTTTCTTTCAGCAACCTGAAGTGGGGTTGGTCTCTTTCATCTTCTCTCTTGAAGGTGGAAGCCCTCAAAGTGACTTGACACTCAAGGAAGCCTTGAAGCTTGATGAATCTCCAAAGAGGACTTGACCTGAAAAGTTCCAAAATGATCAGTGAAGGCTGGAGCTCTCTTATCAACTCAGCCCTGTCCTTTATGAAGGACAGGGCATTCATCTCCACCAATGAGAAAATAGTCCCATACACTGGGTTTGGAGCAGGGGTTAAACACATGAAGGAGGGGCATAACACTCACTCTTTTCTCCCCTTTCTCTCTCTCTCCAGGCTGAGTTGATCACCCAGCCAGCACTGATATATAAGTAAGCAATTCCCAGATTGCTACAACTCATTCTCTAGAGTGTTAAGAGGAACTGTAGCTGGGAGAATATACTCCTACTCCTCACGTCGTAGATCCTGAGCTCTCACCAGTATTCCCATTTAACAAATTAGCCAATATGGCACCATTAACTCTTTTTTAAAGCATAAAATTAGTTCCATTTATACTACCTTTTTATTTATATGTGGAAGAGAAAGCTTTTGTTTTTGAAATAGAGTCAGCTTACTCATTTCACATTTAAACATTTTTACTTGTGTATACTTTCTTAATAAATGCTAAGCATTTATATACTTCATTCCAAGAAATTACACTTTGACTCTTGAATACAAACACAATTGAACTGATTCCCAATCCCCAAAGGTTTTAAGATAGATGGTTTCCTTTAATAGACAATTGAAATGCAAAAAGATTTTACAAAGTCAGAAATTTAGGCACTTAAATGGCATATTAAATAGAGTACCAGGCTTGAAGTCAGAAACACCTGAGTTCAAATACAGTCTCAGATATTAGCTGTGTGACCCTGGGCAAGTCTCTTACTCTTTGTCTGCCTCAGTTTCCTCAACTGTAAAATGGGGATAATAATAGCGTCTACCTCAAAGGGTTGTTATGTGGATCAAATGAGTTAATATTTGTAAAAGCACTTAGCACAGTGTCCCGCTTAATAAATGCTTGCTCTTATTCCTTTTCCTATAGAATGTACAATAACATTTTCTAAAAAATACTTAAAATCAGGAAATTTAAAGTAATTGTTTCCCTTACGAACCCTAAAAACCACCTTCATGAGAATTCTTCTTTTTTAAATTTTAGACTTAAATACATAATGCAAAAAGAAAAAGAACTGTATTATAAACTTAAATACACAACAAGAAAAAAGACGTGTCATGTGCATAGCAGAATGTAAGAGAGAATTCAAAATGTATAGCAATAAATTTCCATTTCAAGAAAGCCTATATACCAAACACTAGCATTGTGTTGGGAGCTGTCCATCTTTTCTTTGTTTCCTTGTTGGTTTTCTTTTGTTCTCCGTGGTACACTTTTTACTTTGTTCTTTTTTTTCCTCCTTCCTACCCCCTCTACCACCCCAGGGGCTACACAATTAAGTGCTGATATATTTATATATAGATATATACATACCTGCATACATATATACACATACATACATATATAAACATATACTTTCCCTAACAGATTCTACTCCTAATCTTTATTTTTATGTTTGTGCATATTTCTTCTTTCTTATTCCTCCTGACTCCTCTACTTTACTTCTATCTGCTACTTTGCTTTCCTATTACTTAACCTACTCTTCCTCCAGAGATCCCTCCCTTATCTTCCCATTCCCATAAATCTAAACACCCTTCTATATCCCCCTTTAACCTATTCTCTTACCCCTCCTAAAGATCCCTTCCTTATCCTCTCCCCCCTCCCTATCTCCTTAGCATTTTATTTCTTCCTAAATTTAGAAGACTTTTAAACTCTTCTAGATGTATATGTATCGTTCCCTCTTAAATCCATTCCCAGTGAAAGTAGATTTCCAGAACTAATGGCCCTTCTCCTCCATCTAATTACTCTGTATTGGTTCTTTCTCTTGCACTACATTTGTATAAGATAATTACTCTTTTTGCTGTTACTGAAAGGTTTTACTCTTTTGAAGTCACATCATGGTCAGGTCTACTCCAATCTTTCTTATAAACTACCAAATTACTAATAACAATTTTAGACATAGGTTTCACATTTTACATACATAAAAAGTAAACAGTCTGTCCTTACTGAATCCCATGTAATTGGTCTTTGGTATTTACCTTATGTTTCTCTTGGTTCTAGTATGTCAAATCCTCTATTAAGTCCAAGTTGGTTTTTTTTTTTTTAACAAAGTCCTGAAAGTCTGACAATTAATTAAATGTCCATTTTTTCCCCCATTCAGAATTATGTTTAGCTTTGCTGAGTATGATATTTTCAGCTGGAAGCCCAATTCTTTTGCTCTTCAATATATAGTATTCCAAGACTTGAAGTCTTTTAGTGTCACCGCTGCTGCATCTTGTGTGATTCTAATTGTGGCATCACCATATGTAAATTTTTTCTTGTTGCCTGTAATATTTTATTCTTGAGGTGGGGATTTTGCAATTTGCCTACAATATTTTTGTGGGTTTTTCTCATAAGATCTCTTTCAGGTGGTGATTAGTGGATTTTTTCTATTTCTACTTTCCCACATATTCTAATGCTTCAAGACAATTTTCTTTAATTATTTCTCGTATTATTGATTCAAGATTCTTTTTTTGATCATAGCTTTCAGGTAGCCCAATTATTCTTATGTTTTTTCTTCTTCTTGATCTGTTCTCCAGATCAGTTGTTTTTCTTATGAGATGTTTCACATTCTCTTCTGTTTTTTCATTCTTTGTATTTTGTTTTATTATTTCTTTATCTTTTATAACGTTGCTTGTTTCCCCCTGTCCC